TTAAGTAATTTTATTAATAATAGGAACATCATACATATTGTTAAATGTTACAAAATTAATCTACAACCTACTTAACTTACTCTCTATTTTACATTGAAATAGAAGAATGCAACATTACCACTGTAAGCCCTACATAAAGCAGGTGATTCAATAATCACACAATTAAGATTAACACTTTATGTCTTTGAGTTAAAAGATATCAGTGGAATATCATGAACAAAAATAAAATCTAGTTTATTTTTTCCAAATCTAATATGAAAAAATAATAAAATGTCATTAGGGTTTCTATTTGAATAAGGTTTATTCGAATTATTCGCTTTATTCGTATTTGAATTGCATTGCAAGTTTAGTCGAATAAAACAAATAATATTAATCAGTCATCTCATTATTTTTTTAACAAATTCAACATCATTATCCATTAGACTTTACATTCTTTTATCAAATGAACGCTTTTATTTTTTAAATTATATTTTCATAAGAATTAAAGAATTAAAATAATAATTGCAATAAGGTTTATTACATAGTTGCAAACCCCAAATTTATATATTATATATTATCTATATTTTCACTAATCTTTTGTCTATTATGAACTATTACACATACTCTACTTAATCTTGAATTATTTATATCAATTTTGAAAATGAACTTTTATCTGTTTTAATACAATATCAATCATCTGAGATTTTTCTTTATATTCCAACCAACTGGATTATAATCACCAACCAATTCTCCTCATCTTTAATTCTAATAATGGATGCAATTTGTTTAATATTATTCTCAAAGGCAGATCAGATCTAGAGGATCTATATTGAGTGCCCCGAAAATTAGTATATTATTATCTAAATTTTCTGAATCCGAATCCGAGGCTATTTCAACCTCTAAATTTGTGATTTAAAACGTTTGTTTAGGTTAATATATAAAGTTAAAATTAAATAGTTTTTATGAATATGATAAAGTAGCCAGCTATTTATACACTCCGTTACCAATTAGTGTCAGTATGTTTCCTGTCTTTTTCCTCCGGTCGTGACATGATTATTTTTGTGACACACTGTACATATTAATATTAGTATGTAAATGTCGCACAATCAATCCGTTATAATAAATAATGGGCTTAAAAAAAGAAGATAATAATAAAGCAAAGCAAGCAATACCCGTCTCTGATAAAACATTATTCACAGTTACCTTATTTTCTACATTTGTAAAGAATAATATTGTTACTTCTAATGATATTCGGAAGACTACTTCCTTAATTGCTGGAAATGTTGCTGCGTCAACACTTGGATTAACTAGTCTGTCGATTGTACCGTTAATTTTAACATCAATAATTGACGCATTAGGTTTTGGTACAGGAAGAGGTGCAGCAAATTCATTCGCTTCTTGGTTTATGTCATTATATGGAGGTGTTTTTTTTATTCTACAATCGATTGGAACTACTGGATTAGGAGGTGTTGGAACCTTAATAAGCAATGGCTTCGGAGCAGCTGTTAGAGCTCTAGTTGGGGCATTAGGCGGTGCTAAGTTGGCATACTATTTTAATATTATGGAATTAACTGGAGAAGAAAAACAAAACTTTGAGAAATTAGTTCAAATCGAAGAAAAAAAAATTTCAAATAATGATAATACTATGGTCACATTCACACTTACGCCAACTTTATTGTATAATAAAGAAAAGTTAAAACTTTTTATTGAAGCGTTCATAGCTTGTTCATCTTTTGCTAATTCTAATTTGTTTAAATTTTATTTTCAAGAAAGTGGTTTATTTTTATGGAAATTAAAATACCATGAAAAATATTTGAAAGGCAATGTTTATAACTTGTTAGTTAGCAATTACGGAGAATACAGAGTGAAACCTATTTTAAAATGTCATTTAATAGTTGGATATGATTTAGATCTTAGTGATTATGAGCCACCAAGTTTTGTAATGAAAGCATTGGTGGCAATTTGGAGAAATATAAATAAGGGCGACGGAGATGGTAAAATAAAGTCAAAATTATAATTATTGTATCTATAGATTGGGCGTATAAACTAAATTATTTAGACAATGTCTAAAATATAGACATTTAGATGCCCATCTATAATTGTATCTATTTCTATATAGAATAAAAGAAATCACCTGGTAGATTCGGGTATAAAAATAATAGAATAACTTATTTATTTTAAAAAAAATTTTTTTAGCCATGTAATATTTATTATATGTACGAAATTTATTATATAAATAAAATCTTTTTACCTCATCAGAAATATTTGCAAATCCACCTTTACTATTTCGTAAAGAACCCATTGAAAATAAAAATTACTATAGTATTTTATTGTGTCTTTTTAATTGTTTCATCTGTTGCTTCATTCCCACTAGCCCATCCTTGGTTGAACAAGTATCATTTTTTTTTCTGTTGGAATATCTATCAAATGAAGTTATAGTCTGGAAAAAGCTTTTCCGTTTTTTATATTATATACATTTGACTTAACATATTAAAAATAGATTACATACACAATGATGTTAAAATCTTTGATTTTAAAGGTCCAAATTCCCAACAAAATAACGACTGTATATTAGTTAAATTTTTTTCTACTGCCATCTATTACATAATGTACTTTAACACTAATTTAATTCTTCACCCAGTAAAATATTTGAATAAAATTTTTTCATCATCTGGATTGTTAAATATTTTAGACTCGGCTTTGCAAATTCATGGAGTTTAGAGATTTTGTGCTTGAGAAGTTGAGACGAAGTTTATGTTCTCATGTGTGCGTTAATTTAAAACGTTAATATATATGAAGGAACATGCCCAAATTGCGAAAATAGGGATTGATTTATTGTGAATTTTTTATTTTTAAAGAAAAAAATACTAAAGAACCATCTCTTGTATATGTGGCATGTGTATAAATAGATATTATAAGACTTCCCAAACCCTGATCTTGCTGTCTTTGATTACCAAAAAGAACATATATTAATAAAGTAATAATAATAATAATAATAATAATAATCAACAACAACAACAATTATAAAACCATACAAGATCAAATAATTAATTATACCTGTATATCCGGCGAACAGTATAGTACCATCAGGTGACCAAGCCAAAGAGATACACTCGGGATCTTTTGAGTGTCTACCAGTCTCCGTAAAATCAGGCTTTAAATCATCAATAACTTTCTTAGTTTCGAGGTCCCAAATCTTAATACAAGACGTAGTCGCAGCACATTACCAATATCTATTTGGACTGAACACTAAAGCATTTATGTTGCTTCTAATGAATATAAATGTTTGTCTTCATTCAAATCCCAAAACATTGTAACACAATACTGGTACTAAAATAAAAAAAAACTATTTACTTGTATAAATTGATAACCATATTTTTTAAAATACTGGTATTGTCATATTTTTGACTATGTGCAAGATTAATGGCCAATAAACACTTGGTTGGAGTATCTTTTTCTTCAAGACTAAATAAATTCGATCTTCATCTTCCTCAATTTCATTTAATAATGAGAGAACATCTCTTGTTGGTTTTTTGTTTTTCCACTCCAATATTTGATTAATAGTCGCGTCATTGTTTATCGCCTCCAACTTCTTGAATTTTTGAAATAATGTAATTTTAATTCTTTTTTACAGCATTCCCTCTAATTATTCTAAACAATTCTAAAGAAGGCCCTCTAAGAGTAAACCACACAACATCCCACTTCCCTCTTTCATTGTATCTTTCATCATTTGGATCTTTTCCACCAGATGCATAAAGCGACCCATCTGGTGGAATAGTAACAGTATTAATATATCCAGTGTGCCCATGATGATTAGTTTTAAGTCTACATTTACCAAGTTCCCATATCTATATGTAATATTAATGTATGTAAATTTTATTTATATTTATATTTATATTATATGAGTCTTTGTTAACTCTTCAGAATAATAAATATATATTTATAAACGAATATGTGTTTGACTCAGATCTGGTTAAACTTTTTCTTTGAAATATATTTAATTTCTCTAAAGTAGCAAATATTATAAGTATTAATTTGAACATCACAGTCAAAACACACACACACACACACACACACACACAAATATATATAACAATAACAATAATCACCCTTACAAGCTTATCCCAACCGGATGATACAATGACTGGATTGGAGGAATTTGGCGAGAATCGAACACAAAATACCCAATTAGTATAACCTTCATCCTGAATATTAAATTTGCATTCACCAAGTGTATTCCATAATTTGATGAGTTTATCTCTTGACCCTGAAACAATTTGTCTATTATCTGGCAAAAAAGAAACTGTCAAAACATCTCTCATGTCCAACAAATCAATGAGTGGTTGTTCCAGTATTCAAATCCCATAATCGAAGCGTCTTATCCCCAAGAGGCTGACAAGGCAAATTGTCCATCTGATGAGATTACAACATCTTGTACAAAATGATTATGAACTGTTAAAAATTTACGAGGAACTCCATAATTGTATTCATCTCGTGTCAATCGTCAAACCATAATAGTTTTATCTATTTACGAGGAACTCCATAATTGTATTCATCTCGTGTCAATCGTCAAACCATAATAGTTTTATCTATTTTAATTAAAGAAATGAATTAATTGATTGATTGATCAATGATGAACTTGTCTTCCAAGGAAAAAAATCCATATTAAATGCATAAATACTACGAGAAGAAGACAAAATCATTTCAGGGTTTTCCGATGTTACAGCTAATCAAATTGCTTATATGTGTATATAAATATATTAATTAATTAATAATGTCAATTTACACCAATAGCTGTTACCCAATCCGAGTGTCCTAAATAAATTAATCATAGTAACAATAATTAATAAAAGTAGTCGATTAATTAATCATAACTCTTTCAATAAATTATCATATCATTCATAATAAATAGTTTTACCCTCAAGTGTACCACGGAGTGAAAGTGAATCGCCAATGATTTATATATTCTAACAGAAAATAATAATAAATTTGATGATAATCAAATTTGTCCTATTTGGAAAAAATCTGCATCTATTTTTTTCGCAAGCTACATTACCACTACCGGTAATGAACCTACTATTACCAATCATGTCAAATATATAGTAGCAAATTCTAAAACTCTATGTGGTTAAAATACTAATTGCATATAATACAATTTCCAAAAAATAATAGGAAACGTTGACAAATTGTACTAGAAGCAGCAAAAGAATCTTATTCAGAAGAAATTCATTTTTTCTTAAAAATTTGTTTTCACTCGCGATTTTTTTTGTATAATGATTATAACATTTACATCTATCTATCTATCTATGTTTTGGTGATTTTTTAATGATAAAAGGTTTAAACAGGAAATTATTGTTTCTAAAGTGCTCGAGCCCCGGTTTTTATATTATAAAATTTGAAGTTGAATTTTAAAAAATGCAAATGTTTAAATATAAATTAATTCATAAAATTTAAAGTCAAGTATTTTTCTCTTTTTTTTGATTAACTAGAACAATAATAATAGTTGTGTTATTAGCATAAGACCAGGGATCAAAATTTTTTTTTATAATCATATAAATTTATTTATGTATACCTACATTAGAATTTTAAATTTGATTCTGAATGAATTGAATTGGAAATGTTGTTATTAATCTTATACTTTGAAATAAATTAATAAAGTATTATTTTTTAGGATGTGATGAAGTCTATTCCAACACGAGCAACAAGAAACTAGTTGTAAGTGTGGTTGTTCCCATAATGCCTATATTTTCAAAATCAATTATTTTAGTGCACAAAGACGATAATTTTTTTAAATGTTAAGTTTGGATGGAAAGTCTGTGTTCATTTTCTTATAAAAAACCTTGTTAATCTTGGCCGTATAAATACAAATAAGGAAATACCTTGCATAAAAGACCAATGTTGTGACCCTAAACCCATTTGGCTTCCCGAAACAGTTTCGGTAAACCGTTTAGTTTAGGTTTCAGGTTACAAAACCCGAAACCTAATCCCACACCTGAAACCTAATCCCATATCCGAAACCTAAACCTTACCAAAACTTAAATACATATCCAAAACCTAATTATTCTCAATTCAAACCAATAATTCCGCTTGTTATTTATTTGAATTTGAGAAATGTAACTATTTGTGTTCAGGGCAATGAAAGTAATAGTGAACCCGTTGATACAGAATCAGATATTGATCTTGACAATTATGAATATTATGATAATCACAATAGAGATATTGATTTTCTAATAGAAGATTACATAGATTTAAATAATTCTTTAATTATGAAGGTAGTAACAAAAATGAAATTGATATAAGTGTAGAGAATTTACAACATAATGAAATTATGAATATAATCCCAATGATTTGGTTTCCAATTTTTTTGATGTGATATATGAAAATGACATTAATACTGCAAAAAGAAAAAAAATAATCATGAATGTGATACTGATGAGGAAGATTTGGATTATTCACATAATTTAGGTTTTGATATTGAAGACAGAAATTGAAACGAAAATAATGATGATGAAATTCAAAGTTCTGAAGAAATTAATGGTGGTGGTGAAAAACTAGTAATATTAATAGAAGGGGGGGGGGGGTTGAAAATAGCATGGAAGCAATTATGAAAGTTCAGATAATGATGATAGTATTGAAATTAATGAAGATAAAAGAAAAAAATCTAAAAATACACCAAAGAAAAAATTTACATTAAGGAAAAGAATCAATAAAGTTTAAAAAGTTTAAAAAATAAAAAACAATAACAATAAAAGTTTAAAAATAAAATAATAAATAGCAATTAAATTAGAATAAATTTTTAAATTTTTAAATCCATCTTGAAATAAAATCATATTTTGCAATAAAAATTAATTTTGACATAAAAAATAGTTGTAAAAAATAGTTCAGAAAATTGTTGGTATAAAGTTTGTGTTTTGGTATAAAATTAGTTTCAGCAAGAGTTTTGGTAAGAATTTAGGTTTTGGTGATTTTTTGTGTTTCAGTATGGGTTTGGTAAGAGTTTAGGTTTCGGGTAAGGGTTTAGGTTTCAATAAGGTTTAGTATTAAGCAAGCTATACATTTAAACAATATATATGCTTTATGAACTGCTAATTCAGGTATCTTTTCTGTGAATTGGAATATTTATAGTTTTGCGGATATTTATTTACTGATTTGTATATACCGTATATTCATTTACTAATGCAACGAGTCTTTTTAACCAATTAAATTATTATTATTACCTTTTAGCTTTCTTAGACATAAATATATCCATACGTAAGGTTTTTACAGTGATGGTAATAGTTAATCCAAAACTCATTATCCTGGTTAATAATTAATTATTTACGAAATGAAATAAACAATAATAAAGTTCTTTCACGTTAAAAATATAATATTACCAAGCTATTTAATAATAACCAATATTAAATCACTAAACTATTAATAAATATATAAAAGTACCAAGAGATAGTTGCTTGGTCTCGTGGAACATATCGATTATCCTTACTATTATTATTGCTCTGTTTAAGCTGGCATTCATGTAATTCTACATTTATTTAATAAATGAATTCGGCCTACAAAAAATTTTAACAAAAAAGATAACAATTAAAGAGTTTAGAAAAGACATACTCACTTTGCATGCGAATTATATTTTATGGGATTGATGTTTATTTAGCTACTATAACCCCAAACTTAAATTAAGCACAATCACAGCCCCAAGGATAATCTATCATGATATACTGCGACACTGGAACTCAATTACATTGGGATTATCTTAATTGTCATCAGGACAATTCCACAGTTGGAATCTCAAGCCGCTTTTTATTGGGCACGGGTTTGAATACGGGTATTATTAGCATACAACGTTTTTTCAAAACAAATATTATTTCAATTTGTTGTTTTGAAGAGATGGACCATTATCATATGTATTTCCAACAAAAAAAATTACTTCCATTACTCAAAGTCTATATGAAGATTATATCATGGCCAATCATTTAACATTTAAAAGATCCGAGATGATTGTAATTCGTCTGAAGACGTTAAAGAGTTTTGGTACATCATAAAAAGAGGGGACACTTTGCAAAAATCATGTCTATGCTAAAATAATTCGCAATATTGTTGTGTATAAATACAATAATCTAAATCAAAATATCCAAGTTCGCTTCTAGGGAAACATTCCAGTTCTATTTTGATTGCTTACAATTTATATGATGCTAAAAATTCTTTTAATAATAAATTTCTGAATAATCTTGCGCCATAGATTGAATTCTAGGCTTTCACTCTATACTATGCCTAAAAATTGATAGATTTTGAAAATTTGTAATTAAAAAGGTTTTTGTCATCATCTAAACTCCTTCCCTATATAGATAATGGAAGCCCGTGTGAATAATTACTTGAATGCTTAGCAAATATAACACCATCCCAAAAAACTTTTCTTACTAAATTGTTGCTCATTTAAAGAGTTTGTAGTTAATGTTAAAAGCTAGTAATGATTCATGCCAGAAGTAGTCTCATTTCTATTTATTGCTATATATATATATATATATATATAATATAAATGAAATATTATTGGCACAACTTTGTCTTATATTTTTTTTATAAATCGATAGTTATTAAAGTTAACTTGATAACTGTTCATTTAGTTTTCCTTAACTTAACAAAAACATATAGTAGAAGACAAAAATTCGTAACTTTACTTATAGAATTCGCAACATATGTTGAACTTCACATTATCTTTTCAGCAAAACTTTATTAACAAAAGTTATCAAAAGCACACTGTTTAATAGCCTTAATCCTAGAGAGTATATATACAAAGTTTTGTTTAAATTTCGCAACTTTTACAAAGTTTTTTTTGTTCAAACCTTAAAATTGTGGTCGTGTGATTTTTTTTCCATGATGTGCCGTGTAACCGAACTCTTGTATAATAATATTAATATATGGCGTAGTCGAATTTCGAACTTTCAAAAAATGCCAAAAATTGTTTCAAGTTCCACAATCTCTTCTTCTGAACAAGTTAATAAGCGCCCCGAACAACATCTCCACGTATATTATTGTCTATGTAGTGAATTTATTTTAGTCATAGGTATATATATATTTATATTTATATTAACTAATTAAGTAGTAATAACTAATTATTCAAAATCATTTTCTACTAAAAGATGCCAAATTGGAAAAATTACCAAGAAGAAAAACAGATAAAGCATATATAATAGCAAATGGTAAACGTATTTATAAGTTGAATGCTGTGGAAACTGATAATCCTGTGATTTTGAAAAGGTTTTTATTTATATTTGTTCAACACAATATTTACATTTAAATCTATATAGTAATAATATAATAATACGCTTGTTCGATTATTTTTTTTTATAAAAGGCCTGATGGATATGAGAAACAATTTAGATTACATTGTCCAAGATGTAATCTTTTGATTGCTTACGAAATGACAGAGAGACGTAAAAATGGTCAATACACTTATATTGTTGAGGGAAGTTTAACTGAAAATCAAGGTGTTATTCCACACGAATCCATTTTGGATGATTAAAAAAATAATTAGGCAAATCTAATGGATAACTTTAAATTAGTATAAATTTATTTTGGGGAATATATATAAATAACTTTCTATCATAATTAAAATTTTTTATGGAAAGTGCATCTAATTAATAAAATCAACGTTTGGTCCTTTTCTATCGAAATAACTCCATATAAACATGGAGAATATAACATATTTAAATTAATGACAATGCTGGTTTATTCGTAAATTCTTAACCATGTTTCATGTACGTCTATTATGGGCACGTGATTCATTTTCAAGTCTATACTTTCTTAGATCTTTTGTATGATCTGGCATTTCGGATCCCCATCCTGGAAATCTTATTACCTAAAAATAATCAAATTCACATTTTTTTAGAAATAAATTCTAATAATCTATTATTGTGTCAATATGTAATAAATTAGAATTACCATCGCTGTAATATTATCTTCTGATCCGAGCTCTTCTGCAAAGTTGACTAGTTTCGATGCGCCTACAGTTGGATCATTACAACCTTTTATCTATAAAAAATAATTATAATTTATAATAAATTGATAAATTTAGTTGTGTATTTTATGCATGATGTTTAATTATATATGTGTATCTATGTATGATATATTATTAATTAATATAGATTAATATTTTCCAAAATTTAAACATAAAACTCATAAATAATTGATTTTGTCCAGGTTCAACAATCGTCTTTAATTATCGTTTCCTATGTATATTTCTCACTGTAACAAGGATACAATTTTACAGATTGATATATTTTTTTTTTTTTAAAAAAAAATCTGCAAATATATACTTGATTAAAAAATATTTTGAAAATATACAAATATCAATAAAAAAATATCCTTACACAATCAACAATTTCTTGATCGCTCATCACAGATGTCACTCCATCAGAGACTAAAACCAAGAATGCTGTATCCATACCAATGACTGTATTAATTTTGATGTCTGGTTCAGCAGACACACCATAAATTTTCATTTTTGAATCACCCAAAGACCGAGAAACTGCTAGTTTTCCTAAAAACATTTCTGCGCCAAACGAATCCGTTATAATGTATCCACCAGATCTTTGTAATCTGCTGTTTTCAGTTGTGGCACTCGGGTGATGGTCATCTGTTAAACGAATTACTTTCCCTGAAGGTACATCACACATTAGTATTCGAGTGTCGCCAACATGTGCGACAGTTATTTCAAGTTTTTGACTATTCCAAAACGGATGATGATCTAATGGTTTAACAATAACAATTGACGCTGTAGAACCACTTGTATTTCCTGACCCATTTAAAAGTTCCAAATCTGTTTTTAAAAATGCCAATGTGAGGCGTTGTTCAAGTGTAAGAGTCTTTTTTGATTCTAAGGATGATTCCGGTAAATTGGTTTTATTTGTTTCATCTTGTGGTAAGGGTTGTGGTGGTGCATTTGTAGTTGTTAAATTTTCAGTAATATTTTTATTTTTATTTTTTTTGTATAATCTTTGTGTCGGTCTATTTACAGGATTAGCTATTTCTGGTTTTAACAAGTTTTTTAAAATATTCGGGTTAAACCTTCGAAAATACCTGTATTTTTAATAAAATTCTTATATATAAATTTATGAACTTCAAAAATTTTCAGGGAAAGATGCATTTACGATAAATTTATATACAAACCCTCCAATATTACGCCATTGAACCACTACATCATCTGCATCTTTAGCTGCAACTTCTTCAATTCGGTTGTGAAGATTTGTTGTCAGAAAATCTGCACATTCAGGACCTCCATGACTAAACAGACTTTAAAAATTAACGCATATTTTTTTAATTTCAATGACAAATTAAAAACAACACAAACCCGTCAAAGATAGCAAAATAACAAAACTGCCCTTCTTTACTTTCTTCTTCCACTTCAATTTTTGAGACAGGTACAACATTTATTATATCTATATCAGATTCAACTTTATCTTGAACTATATTTTCAGTAAATTGTTTTAATTTATCTTCATTTAATTCTAATACCATAACTTGACAACGATCCTCATTGGTCTCTCTAATGCCACGAGTTGTGCTTTTAACAATAAATAAAAAAAAAACAATCTTATTTATATGTGATGGAAATATATTCAAATATTATTAATACCAACAACTACCTCAACCCAACTAAATGTTTAGATTTTGCAACGTGTAGACGATAATTTTCGCCTTTCTGTGATTTTGCAAAATAATATTCTTGTGCATTACACATTGTAAAATTATTGAAAAATCTAAAATGAAATTTTGTAGTATGAAATTTACTATAACTCTTTAGTGATAAATGTCTATCATAGTTTTTATATGAAAACAAAAGTCGTCGGAAGTTTGCCATTCCAAATGACAAAAACTAAATTTTTTGAGAATAAATTTTCTATTGGAGAACATTAGATAAATAGATATTTCTATATTAATAAATAAAAAAAAAAGTATTAGTATATTAGTATGATAACATGCCATTTTCGCTGATCATCACCAAAAATTTTATTTTACCCAAGTTATAAAAATGAATAGTAAGTTTGATAATTATTTGTTATAATCATTGTTATATTTCTTTAATATATTTCTAATTATTATTGGCAACATAAGAAAAGAGGGGAGCATCGTTTTACGAGGATCAAGTAATTCTCCCAGTTTTAGGAACAATAACGGCACACACAACTATTGATTTCAACAAGTGTTTTATAATAAGTTTTATGTTTTAATCTTCTTTAGTATGATCAATCTAACCTCTTTATATTTATTTATTTGCAAGTGATTTATTTATGATACTATATCTTCCTGAGATAAATAAAAAAGAAGAGATAAATGTTTCAATTGATGATGATGATGTAACAGTAACAATTGAAACAACAAATTCTGAAGAACTTGTCACTCCACTTAAAGTCAAGTAAATTTAAAAATATTATTCACACACATTAATATTTCAAAGTTGATTGTTTATTTTATTTTATTTATTTAAAAAGAATTGATCCAAGTAAAGGTGTAGATATTGATATTGAAAATGGGATGGTGAAAATCCACTTCAAAAAGAAGGAAATGGGAAAGAAAAGATTAACAATTAATAATTTTTTTTTAAAAAAATAATATAAATATATTAATATATATTTTTTGTTATTTAAGAAATTAATTATTATTATATATTTTATATAAACAAAAACTTTAACCCTTGATTCTTAAATTGGGGTATGTTGTAACAAAACCAGACAAAAAAGAAAAGGACTATGGTGGAATTTTAGATAATGATAATCTTTTAAAAAAAGATGCGATCAAAATTTGTTAAATTAACCAAAAAATATTCTAATAATGAAACAAAAAGTTAGAACCAGTCGGAAACCCTCTGCCATTTTTATTTTTAAGCCACTAAATTCAAATGATGCCGACTTGTATTATACTTTCAGAAAACTCTTTAATTTATTTATTTTCAATTAAAATAGGAATTATTCACATAAAAAATCAAACTGCACTATCCTTATCAGTAATTTAATTCAACAAAATGCCTAAAAAACACATTTATAATGTAAACAAAAAATTGATGAAAAGTAGTTAATCTAATAAAGCTAGAACAACCAAAACAAGTCAAACATATTAATTGATAAAAAGGCTGAGCTGGAATCGGATATTCATTCGTGAGTTGCCTGAATAATCGCTGTCTCCATTATAAAGAACTTCTACCAACGAAAAACCAATTTTAAGAAGTAAAAGATGGAAGATAATGATGATCGTTATTGTAAAGAAGACAAAGTGATTGAAGATATTAATATTAGTAGTAGTATTGTTGATAATGATCATAAAAAGATAGTATAGTTTGCATCAGAGTAATCAAAGAACAGGTAATGCTCATCAATGGTTTTTGGTATTTTCTCCCATACAATTTCTTGGTGGTTTTTATCTTATAGTTTGTATATATGTTGTTATGTAACTTACTGTGTATCAGTTGAATCGAAAAAACACGATTTTTGTTGTTTTAATCCTTGATAAAAAAATAATACGAATATTTCGTTCAGTCCAAAATGTTTAGCGTGTGTAATTCAAAGCTTTTAACCTAGATTATTAACTAGCAAATAACATAAACAATTATACCATTAATAGTCGGTGGATATTTCACTTCTAATATTGCTTCATTTTTTTTATCTTTCTTCAAAGGTCAAATAACAATATCCATTTTATTTATTCGCCAACACTCATGCGCCCGAGCATTCTTTTTGATAATTTAATTCCCACATACATATATAATGTTAATATAGATGTCTTTAACGTTTCGGATGTTTTCCTTTTTTTTGGTGATCTTCGCCAGATTGATGCTCTTCGCTGATTCTTGCTGGCACATGCTTCCGTTTGCATGTTGATGACCGCAAACTTGACCAAACAAGCCAATATTAATGCATCTATTCAGTATTATGCAATTCTGTAACTGGAAACATAAAATAAAAGGTGAAAGATTTAGTGATTCGTTTAAGACTTGCAAATACATTTGTATATTCATAAATCGCGTAGCGAATAATACAACAAATATTCTTGAATATGCAAAGAAGAATGTTGTAATGATGCTCTGTATAAATAGTCTGAATATCTTATAAAGGTTGCAACTTTTTATTATGCAGTTGCAAATAAATGTATAATTTCTTTTATTCGCATTATAATATATAGAAGAGAATACTTTTGTTTAATCCATCTTACTATAAAAAATTTTATCTACCACCCAATATCAATCTTCAAAACTCATCAATTCATGAGCTATCATTTCTGGACTTTCAAATTTATTAATATTTTGGGTAATTTAAGTTTTACAACTTCTGGACGTAAAAAGACAACCTTAGTTTAGTGACAATAGTTTTGATATATGATCAAGTAAAGCAGCTTGTTGGGTTATGTACTCGGTCGTGGAATTTTTATTCTTCTATATATTTTAAATTTAATTGGAACATTGTCTCAGTAAGTAAATAATTTTTGGTTTAGTCATAACACTCATACAAAGCATGCGCATGCACGAATCATTTTTTTTTTTACACAGATATCACTGTTGTATGTGAAATTGAATTGATTACTATGTGAAGATATGAAATTCTGATTGACTAATTTGAATTTCACATATTAATATGTAAATTGCAAATTCACATAGATTTCATTTTTTCACGCACAACATCACCATAAACATTATTTATTCCCAAGATATATCTGTATATCTATTTGTATTTAATACATTTAAAAAAAAAAAACTCTATTTAATGTGAATTAATTAAAAAAAAAGAAGCCATTATTGATACAATTCATTTAGTGTGGTTAAGTCAATCTGATAGGAATCTAAAAAATATTAATATTAATATAATGTAAATATTAATATCGAACTTTAAGATTATTAAAAAAATAAACTAGTTGAATAATAATTAAATGAATGATAGATAATAATTACCATTGTGATTACTAATAATTGTAACTTTAGTTGAGTTTACGGGCTGTGGAAGATTTGTAAAATTAAAAAATCTACTGGTGTAAACAGCATTTGGATGCATAGTTGACTTGATTGTTGAAGGATCAAAACTCATTGCATCCATTTCATTAAATAAATTTGTAGATAGACTTAATTGATCACATTGTTCTTTAGAATATTTAGCATGTTTAGAATGATATGTGCCATCAAATGCATCTTTCCAAAATTCAATGATATCTTTAATTTTTTTAGCGGATGGTCGTTTATCTGGACTGGCATCCATACATTGATATGCTAATTTTATGTAAAACCTAGGAGTGTTGTTTGAAAAACAAGGTCTCAACCCCTCGCCACAGATTACCATTGCAAGATCTGCCTCATGGGCCAAATTACTGAATGGCCTTAGACCAGTTGACACTACTGACATCAATACTCCAAAACTGTAAATGTCTGATGCCATCGTATATGGTTTACCATTTAGAACTTCTGGTGCAATATATGGTAATACGCCAAATATACTGTTTTTATTTGTTGATGATGTTTTACCAACTGGAGTTGATAATCTTAAATCTGTAATATATGAAAATATATTCTGAGAAAACTTTTCCTGAAGGATATTACCGCCATGAAGATCTTGATGAACAAAGTTTTGAGCGTGAATTATTTCTAAACCACTGATAATATCAGAAAGAATTCCTATTTTATCTTTCCATTTTAAGATGTTGAAATTTTTTGTTAAATAATTAAGGTTTCCATTTTTTATATATTCCATCACAAATATATATTTGCTTGTAAATGGGTCTTGTGTCAATCCATAAATATGAATTATACGATATCTACCATAAAATTTAACATAGTTCCTGAGCTAAAAAAAATAGGTCGAGTAAATATTTGATTACAATGATAATGATAATGATAATGAAAAATTTCAAACAACAAGTAAATAACTTACCTCATTTAAAAAATCATTTGAACTATGTGGTTTTTTCAATGCAACTGTCTTGTCTCTAACATATCTTTCATTAGTAGAGCGATACCCTTTATAACCGTTTTTCCAAGTAGCTTTGTATATAGTTGAAAAATTACTTTCACTTATTTTTTGAGCTACCATTAAATCACTATAAGGAATCCATTGGAGATAATTATAACTGCCATAGCTTGTTGCTTTGATTTGTGTACTTTTAATTAGTTCATCTATCATTTCATTACCGCTGGTCCATTTTTGAGTTATTTTTTTTGGATCACATGATTGACACCATGAATAATAGGTATTATATCTGTTACAAGCTATACAAATACCATATTTTTTCTCCCTTACATTTGAATATTCATCGTTTGAATCAATAATAACATTTTGATGTTCATTTCCATTTTGATGCTCATTTCCGTTTCCATTTTCATGTTCGTATACATTTTCATTTTCGTTTACATTTTCATTTTCGTTTTCATTTTCTTTTACATGTGCATGTATACGTTTATCATTATTTGAGGTTTTCTTGATCTTGAATATTTTTTTGATTTTATTCATTTTGATTTATATATAATAAATTGTTTCTTTTCTTTTCTTTTTTTTTTTTTACGAAAAATTTAAAATTAAAAGGTTCATTTTTTTAAAAATGGAAAAAATAAATGGCGAATATTTTATACAAATATTTACAATTGTGGAATAGTGAAACATTGTTTAAACTTCTTTAGTACTAATGCCAGGAGATCATAACATTAGTATATAGTAATAGTAAATACAAACAAATAAATAAATAGGAACGAATAAATAAATAAACAATTAGTGTTTAATAATAAACTTGTTAGGAAATTCTTTCGGTATGTCAGCCTGACAATATAAAAATATTAAAATATTTAATATAATTAAATTTTAATAAAATCTAATTAAATAATTGATTATTTACCCTTGTGATTGCCAATTATTGTAATTTTTTTTGAATTAATAGGTTGTGGAAGATTGGTAAATTTTAATAACCTACTAGTGTAAATAGCATCCGGATGTAGAGTCGTTGTTATGGTTGAAAGGTCATAATCTACTTTATCCATTTCATCAAATGCGTTTTTGATTGATTTCGCCTCATCCTTTTCTTTGGAATAACCATGCAAAAGGAAAACATCGTCAGATAATAATGAATAATGCCAAAAATTAATAATTTTTACAAGTTTTTCAGCAGTTGGTCGTTTGTCAGGATTAGCATCCATACATTGGTGTGCCAATTTAATATAAATCTTTGGAGTGTTGATTGAAAATCCAGGTCTTAGTCCTTTACAAATATCAAATGCGAGATCTGAATTATGAGCCAAATGACTAAATGGTTGCTGTCCCGTTGACACTACTGACATCAATACTCCAAAACTATAAATATCTGATGCCATGGTATATGGTTCACCATTTAAAACTTCTGGTGCAATATATGGTAATACACCAAATATACCATTTTTGTTTGGTGGTAATGAAGGTTGATTAGCTGGATGTGAAAATCCTAAATCTGCAATATATGAACAATTGTCCACACTCTTCTCTTGAAGAATATTGCCACTATGGAAATTTCGATGAGGAATCTTTTGTTGGTGAATCACTTTTAAACCATCAATAATATCAAAAAGGATCTCTGTTTTTATTTTCCAATTTAAATTTTTAAAATTGTTTGATAAATAATTTTGAAGGCTCCCATATTCTGCATATTGTGTTATAAGTATATATTCTTTGGTTATTGGATCCTGTGTTAATCCATATATATGAATTATATAAAGCCCCATATTAAAGTCAACATAACTTTTGAGCTAAAAAATAAATAAATAAATAAAAGGATTGATTTTAAAAATAAAGAATCTTGAGTAAGTTGTCTTACCTCACTTAAAAATTTATTAGAAATATTCTGTGAATTATGTAATTTTTTTAATGCCACGACCTTATCCCTACTAGATCTTTTTGCAGTTTCATAATTTATATATTTATCACCATTTATCCAAGTGGCTTTGTAAACAGTTGCAAAACCACCTTCACCTATTTTTTCAATGTTTATAAAATTATCATAATGAACCCATTGAAGATAACAGTTACTATTATATTTTGTTGCATGAATTTGTTTACTTTTAATTATTTTATCCAACGTTTCATTGCCACTAGTCCAACCTTGAGTTAATAGCCGTGAGTCACATGATTGACACCACTCTTCTGAAGTATTATATCGATTGCAAGTTGAACAATTACCAAAAAATTTATTTCTTGAATATTTATCATTTGAATATATAAATTTGAATAATATTTTAAACTTATTCATTTTTTTTTTTCGTATAATTGAAATACCAAAGTTTTTAAGAATTGTTCAAATTCATTTTTTACAGACATTTTTATGTGAAATTCAAACGAAAATGAAAAATCTAAATTATCATATGTATGTATGTATCTGTTGTGCGTGAAAATTCATGTCGTGTAACATGATGAATATCATACGCCAATTTTGTTAAAGTATGATTCGTACTTTTTTTCATTTTTTTCAATTGTATTGAAGCACATGACAAAAACATGTATAAGAACTCGTTGGATACACAATTACAATTTTGATATATAATTAATTGGTTGACCATACATGATGGCGATAAGTCATTTAATAAAATCCGAAAAAATCACAAGTTTTTATTTTTGAATTCGAAAAATCCGAAATTCAAAATTAAAATTCATAATAATAATAAGTATTGTGGCTTATTCATGCCTTTAAATAATAATAACCCTAGTTAGAGTTCGAAATATTTATTTACCAGATTCAAAGAAGTCTGGAACATACACATCTAAACTCGATAAGTCGGACGCAGCAATCAATTGTTTAAAGTACTTTATAATATAAATAAATGTCCGACTTATCGAGTTTAGATGTGTACATGGTGGTGAAAATAAATTCGAAACTTTTCGAAAAAATTATTTACTAGTGCTAGTGCTAGTACTAGTACTAGCGAAATCCGGAAATTGAATCGAAATCGAAATTAATAATTTGAAATTCTAATAGTGATTCAAAATTCAAAGTCTAATTTAAAATAAAAATCATTCAATCGATCTTTTTGATTATTATTTTTGATTTGGATTGTTATTAGGCAAACTCCTTGTTCCAAGAACATTTGAAGAATTAGAAGTTGTCAAAATATCATTTTATTCACTAAAAATTTTCTTACATCAACTGCGGACTGTCTTTTGTTCCATTTATCATTACAATATATACATACTTGCCAGAATATATTTATTAAAATGTGCCCAAACAATCTTCCAAGGCTCTTAGAATTTGACAAATAAAGATTTCGAGAATCAAAATTGCTTGATATGATTTAAAAGCAGTCTTTTTTTAATTTAGAATTTAGAATTTCGAATGAAAATTTTAATTTGTTGAATTCGAAATATTATTTTCGAAATAAACCTATTTCACCATCATAATCATGTATGTTGAAGAATATCAAGATTAATTTAAATTTACAAAATCATATATATAAAAAAAAAGGCGCATAGAAATAATTATATAACGAATATGTATATTTTGTAATTTTGTCTGCTACAAAAAAAACTAACGAGAAAGCACCACTTTATTTTATTTATTTAAAAATTTGAAATTGCTTCAAAACTGCTGACCCATTTAATATTAATAACAAACCATGTAGTTTATCATGAAATGTAAAACTACCAAGACCAAAATAATATAATAATTCTTTAACTTTATCATTTGCATCTAACATATCCCAAAGGAACAATGAAATAGAGGGTTGAAAAAAAATCTTTAAGCCCTCAAATTTTGCCACCTTTATGCTAACTCTCGCAAACTATTGTTGCCTGAATGCCTCCAAGCTTTATCACCACTGCTACACTAAGTATCATCACGTTGTATCTTATTTGTATTTGTCTTATTTGATAGTAATGGTTCAAAGACTAGTCATTGACCACAGTAACCCGCATCATTTAGAACATCACGGGCGTAGTCCTATCCCGTTCATATGCCAGGTTTAGTTTGTATATACTATATATACCAGATAACTTGGGATGAAAACCTAAAGTCAGGATACATTAATGGATATATTCATTAATAGCATTTCAATATGGGGTCATTATTTTTGTATACGATGTTATGAGTGATATTGAATAAATAAAACACATGATAATAATATTACCCAAAAATAATTTTGTCAGTAATTATTATTATGGTTGATCAAAAGTCTAACGGTTTATTTTCTTTGTATAAAAAATGGGGGATTTAGAAAGCCACATGAAAAATCGTATAAAAGTTCAGTTTCACTCTCGAGTAGTAGAAGTGAGGGAAAATAGTTGTAGAAATATGAATAAATGTCACGTTATATTCACTGTATAATCATATTTTAATATTTAAATATTTAAATTTACACTATTTAATAAATAAAATTAATGTACAAGTTATCTCGAGTCTCCCACACCACAAAATTTTGACTGTAATATATAGTTATATTTTTTTTTCTTATCATCCTCTCATCAAATCTTAATCAAATATTAATGAATAATAAGATCATTGATAATAAAATAGAGAGAAGGATTGTTGTTGCTAGGTTTGAAGTTAGGATTGAACTGTCTGACTTGACAGTGATTGTTGAACAAACATCCGCCTTTGACTAAAATTTAAATAAATGATAAATCATTAACTTACTAGTTCTCTAAATCATTATTTAGTTAATTAACTCCCATAAAATAAACCAATTAATACTCACAACAATGCTATTAGCTTGAACATCAGTACAATTAGCAGATGAAGAAACTTTGATTGGTTCGTCATTTGCAACATTTCTAAACCAATTTCTTTTATAGGAAGTACTTGGCAATGATGGATTCACCACATTGATCATATCCTCCAAAACTGCATCGCCCATAACAATAGCATCCTCAAACCAATCACGTCCATCAATCGGATTAATAATCCCATCTTCACGATAAACAGCCTTATTCTTGATAAACTTGTAAGTGGTCTGATCAGCGGACAGATTGTAATTCTTGAAGAAATCTGCAATCGTTGATCCGATAAATGTCTCATCAATCACAATATCAACATTTGCAATTGCTTGAAGAAAACTTGTTGTGTCACTATAGACAAGAGTTGTTGCATTAAAATAGACACCTCCAGCATCTTCGGTTAATTGTTTCTTGTAAATTGCATCAGCAATATTCCAGGTTGGAGTATTATTGTTGAATGAATCTGGAGCAACATAAGAAATCCAAGCTAGCAATGGTTTCTCTTTTAATGAATGATCAGCTGCCATTTTTTTATAACAATTGTAGTTGTCACTAATCTGAGTAACAATATCGTTGGATTTTTTTTCCAAATTAAAGAAAACTGAATAGAATTTCAGCCATTCAACACGATTAAGTGTTCCTGGATCTGATATTGGATATGTGCTCACAGATTTCAAACTATTAGGTTTAGATTCAAGTGAGCCAAATGCTACATCAACTACTTCAAGTTGTTGTTCATGTAACGCTTCATCATCAGAAAGTTCAGTAATACTACCTTTCTCCTTCAACGATTGAATACATGGGGATGAAACCATTTCAGATGAATCTAATGCAACTATATTGGATCTAAGTCCAAGAACCTATAGCACAAAAATATGTTATAATTATTATAATTATTTATTTTAATCTTGACATTTATGATCTATAATTTAAAATAACTTTGTTTAAAAATACCTCAAGAAAAGAAACACTAGAAGTGTCCAAAGCAGCTATTTTATTAGCAGCTATTGAAAATACTTTGGTTCCAGTCGGTAAAGTAGTTGGAGCAGGTGTTCCACATTGATAAAGAGCAAAAGTTTCTTTGGATTGCGTATTAGTCAACAATTTATAATTATTAAAGTATTGAATACTAAAAAATTGGGCAAACTCAACTATTAGAATTAATTATAATAAATGTTAGAATTATTGCTTTCCTCTTTCCCTCTCTTCTCTTTTCTTCTTTATTTTTTTCTATCCTTACCAGTAACTTTAGTTGGGAAATAATCAGTATTTGCATCATAATTTACAACACATTGTCCAATTGGTAAATTGTCAGCAGCAACGACATAATGTTGTGGAATGAATGATGGTATTAAAAGCGCAAAAATGAAAATAAAACTCGTGTAAAATCGTTTATATACAGACATGCTATAAAAACTTGCAGGTGAAGAGAAACGATGCATTGGTGTTGATTTGATGGCAATAGGATACTTGGTTTTATGGTTTTTATTTTACAAATGCAAAATAAATATTTGTGTAAAAATACTCATACAAAATATAAAGATGTTTCCTATCATCTAAAATCTAACAAGTTTGATTTAACTCAATTACACACACGCCTTTATTTGGGCATTTTAATTTACCATTGATCCAGTTGCAACTCAAGGCTAATACTAAAGAAAATTGGTCATAGTTAAAAAACCGGTTTGAATAATTTTTACAGGAAATATCGGAAAATTATTTTAATACTGTAATACAATTGGTTTAGTAATCATCATGTGTTTATTCAATATAAAGTCATGTGGCATAATAATAAATTTATTCACACGCCACAATATTTTATCTTTAAACAATAAATAACGTCATCAAATTTGTTTAAAAAGCAAAAACGACCCAAAAATTATTTAAAAGAATTTAACTACTTGGTGTGAACAAGGACTTGGTTCAAAGGTTGATCAAACAACTTTCTCCCGAACATTAAAACGTTCATAAACAAACCCACAGCAAAAAAACGTGCGGTGTGAGCTTGAATATGCACTCCAAGAGTGGTGTTTGCGTTCACAAGCTTTAACAGACCTAATTTTAATTGGAAAAGTTAAATAAAACATTTGCGAAAATGCTCAATATACCTGATGATACATTGTCATCTCTTACTCTGGATTCAAAGCTTTAAGGATAGGTATATTCCTGCATTATATTGAACTAAAATTATTAAATTGATAATTTTTTTGATATAAATTAAATTTACAAAGTTCCAACACAGGACCAAGTTATTTCACAAAAAATACATACTACTTTTGTGTCGCCTAACATATATATTTTTTTTTAATTTAAATATATATAAGAACAAAGTAAAGGATGGGTATAATTTATATTACCAAAAACTTAGTAATAAATGAAGGCTGAAGAATAAATATAAAAATCAACAGTTTCCAAATAATTATATTACTGACTGTATGTGACAATAGTAATAGTGAAAATACTTGCCCTCTCTTATTTATAAAATGAAAATATTCTCTCAAAAATAATGATATTGACTGTAATGATAGTAATGATGAAAATACCTCCCTATTTATTAATCTTTTTACTGACTGTAATAATAATAATGATGAAAATCACTTACTGATTATTTATTATTTAAATAAAATGAAAATCAAACAGTTTACCTCTATTTATTATTTAAAATAAAGTGGAAATCAACAGTTAATATTTTTTCAAGAATAACATTGAATGTAATAATAATAATGCAAAAATACTGACTATTTATCATTTAAAATAAAATGAAAATAAATAGTTAGTATTTTACTTGCTATTTATTATATTTATTATTTAAAATAAAATGAACCAACAATTAATATTTTCAAAAATAATATTGACTGTAATAGTTGTAACGATGGAATACTTACCCTCTTTATTATTTAAAATAAAATAAAAATAATTTTCCCAAATGATGAAATACTTGCTATTTTATTATCATGAAAATCAACAGTTGTACTTTTCCAAAAACAGTATTGACTATAATAATGGTGATGATGGAATATTTTCTATTTATTATTTAAACTAGAAAATTTTTTTTCTATCCTCTTCTGTCTCTATTGTTTTGTAATTGTAACAAGATTTTAAGAAACGTCGCAATGAGCGAGCGGCGGCACGTGCACGAATTTATTTGTATTTTAATATTATATATAATAAACAAAGCAATAATAATAAAACAAAAACGACGGATTGTTTTTCTTCGCAGGAGAAGGAGTAGTAAACGCCAATTAACTAAATATTAATATCAATATTAATATTAAATTGCTTGTTAAACCTTTTTTTTTTTTTAAAAAAAAAATTACAAATGCAGAAAAGATTGATTTGTTCCACATAATAAATTTTTACCGCCTTA